TGGAAGAGGAAAAAATCTGTTATTTCCTATCTTTAGTTGTAATGTTATTAGGAAGTAATATGTTTTATAACTTTGGAACCATGAACACAGCACTGGAATCTTAGGGCATACAATATTAAGAGAGTGATTTTCTTCCAAGGAGGTGAAAATTGGCTTTTGAGGAACAAAAAAACAAACTGTGTATATAAAACACAGTTACACAAATTTGTGGTATGTCTGTGGTTAAAGTTTCATGAGGTGAGGGATCAATAGAGAATATGTCTGAAAAGGCTCTGTAGGGGGATGATAACAGAAGAAAAGGCTGAGAAACGCTGTCTTAGAAGTGTGGGCTGGAATATAGTGGAGCACATTTTTAGCATGAAATCTCTCCCCTTCTTCCTCTAAAATGTGCATGGTGAAATTCCTGTGTCTGCTGTTTGTTCTCTTCTGATTCAGTACTCCTGTACACACAGATGTTTTACACATAAAACAAATTTGCACATCTGCCATTAGATCACCAAAACCCAGTGGGTGTACATACTTCTGCACGTATGTACAGACTCTATTTCCATAGAGTCTGGATCTGAAGACTGAAAATTTGTTTCCTTTAACCCTGTCGTAGCCACTTAAGGAAGAAAAAGACACCAAATTTTTAGAGACTTTGATGCCAAACTGAAGTAATAAAGGTATTTTTATATTTTCCATCATTCTTTCTCTTAGGTGACATCTGTGTGGGACTGGGCTTGGCAAGCCCAGCAAACACTTGTAGTGTTTCTTTTTGGATAGCTGATGAAACAAAGTTGCTATTGTTTCATCCTCAAAAGAGAAGGCGCAACTGGGATGCATTCCACTTTTAGCTTAATAGGAAATGAAGTAATTCTTGGGCCATGCTTCAGCCGTTTTGTTTATCAGTAGCAACATTTTGTTTCGTGGGTGGTGCTCCATACACTGAAAAGCAGCCTGCAGGAGAGCTCTCCCAACCTTGCATAAACACACCTCCTGACCTGCCAGCATAGTAAAGGTGTAGATTAGGTGATTTTAAGAGGACTGTGGGTAGTTAAATTTTTGTTTCTCACCTAGGTGCTCTTTGTGTTTTGTTTATGGTTTCCCTCCTTTCTTTTTTTTAGTTCTGCAGTGCTGATGGAAAGCTTTGTTGGGCCATGCTTGAGGAGCTATTTTTGGAGTATTAGGAATGTGTTTTCCTTGAGTTACCTAACAGAAGCATTTTAATAGCTAATAATAAAAACTATCAGTTTTAGATGCCCATTTTATGCCAGATACTTTGTACACAGCTCTGATGTTTTTAACAATCCGTAAGATTGATGATGTTCTCATTTTGTGTACAAGGAAAACAGGCTTCAAGGTTGAGTGACCTTCTTAGGATAAGCAAATCTGTTGCAATGGAGCTGGAGTTCAAACCTAGTATTTTCTGCTTGATGGCTCATTTGCCAGTATACTCCAGGAGGGTCCCTACAGTTTATTCAGCTGGGAACAGACTTCTCCCACCCCATAATTTATTTTACATTTATCTTGTAATTGGACTTGATAGTGTGAGAAGTTGAGAAATTAATTCATAATTTAAAATATGGAATTAAAGTTTGGGCAATGTTTCTTCCAGTAGTTTCCCTCTCTCTTTCTCCTCTCTAAATTCTCTAGAGTAGCTGCCTTCATGAGTTCAGAATTTTCAGAATTTCCTTTCTTAAAAAAAGATTGGGTTTTTTATTTTCCTTTCTTGTTACCAGGAAATTGAATCAAAGGAAAAACACCATGGAACTAACTGAAAATCCTGCTATTCTTCTTCCTATTGCAGCTTATGTTTTCATGCAGAAAGTTAGTTTGTGGTTTCTATATCAAATTGGATATGGTTTCCCATCCCCCCATGTCCTTGCAGTGTAATTGTAGACGTTGTTAATAACCCTGAAGTCCGTATCTACAAAGACAATCATAGGACTAACGGCCCTCCTGCAAATAGTCATGTCTCTAGAGCTAATTTATGATAGTAAGAGGTTTGAGTCTGTATTATATAACATTTTAAAAAAATGCTGATTCTCCCCTCCCATACTTTATCAGAAAGGTTATAGGAATTAAGAAAAAATCCTGAGAGCCACTTGAGTGTAATAGGAAACATTACTTTGAGAGGGTAGGCCTGCCAGCCTTGTGCGGTTGATTTCCAGACAGTAGGGCGAGGTACTTTATTCTTGATCAGTACTAACGCTTCCAGTGTAATCTTTAAGGTAAGGTAATAAAGACTGATCCAGGAAACCCTGAGTTCCCCACTCATCTTTTAACCCTCAGGGTTTCTTTTGAAAAAGAAGCCTCTAATCATACCAAATAAACTCCAGATTTATAGCATAAATTACTTATTACATATTACTTATGATTAATTATTTCTCCTTCAGATTTTGAATTCATGTCTGAAGGGAAAACATTGGATTAACAATTGGACAGTTTCAGGTATCTATTTGACGGCTACTTCTGACATTCTGCCTTCTCTGTTATACAATTATACACAAATAGAGCTGACAGTAGCTCACACATAACCTGCTAACAGACTCTGTTAATGCAGCTGGAAGAGATAAGCATACTGGTGTTGCCGAGCACAACTCCCCCCCCCCCCCCACACACATACCCATCCCCCTTGTTCTGTTTCTCTCTTTGTGATTCGTCCTTATCCCATTCTGCCTAAGTAAACAGTCATTTTAGCAATTCCAGACAGATTTCTGTGCAGATACTTTACTTCTGCACTTCAGTTTTGAGTAAGGTAGCATTGCTTCATCATGGCTTTTTGCTGTGTGACTGATGTTTATTTTTAGTGGTATTGTGACTCCCTTTCTGACTCAAGGGTTCAGGTTTCTCATCTTTGCATTGACTTGAGGAAGGAGATTAATAAGAAAGGATAAGGACTGGTTATATTAATAGGGCTGTGGATACTCTACATAATGTAATCTCTCTTCTAAGGCATTGCAAATTAAAGATTTGAAGGCATAATTCAGTTTGGATCTCAAATTACTTGTCATCATTGAATTGTGAAATTTTGGTCTTTATTGACATTTATTCATATCTACCTTAAATAACTTTCAGAAGTTTACAGATTAGCTTAATTCTCAATAAATGGGATAGTGCTATACATTGATTGCATTGATGAAGCACACCATTTCTTCTTTAAAGCAGTTCTCCTGACTGACATACGTATCGCTTTATGCATCCATCATTTTACCCATCATTCACCATCCATCTGCTGTAAGTTTATTTGGAAATTAAGTGAGGCTATGTATGTTGTTTTGGCTGATAATATTAAAGAACTTAGGAGCCCCTTCTAGATTTTATTTATTTATTTATTTATTTAGAGACAGGGTCTCTATCTCCCAAGCTGGAGTGCAGTGGCGCGATCTTGACTCATGGTAACCTCTGTCTCCCAGATTCAAGCTGTTCTTCTTGCTCAGCCTTCCTACTAGCTAGGACTATGGATGCCTGGCTGATTTTTGTTATTTTTAGTACAGACAGAGTCTCGCCATGTTGGTCAGGCTGGTCTTAAACTCCTGGCCTCAAGTTATGCACCTGCTTTGGCCTGCCAAAATGCTGGGGTTACAGGGATGAGTCACTGTGCCTGGCCTAAGTCCTTAATTGCTATCTCCTTTGTGAAATCTTCCTGCTTTTGCCCACATATGGAATGCACTACTCCTCTTTGCAAGTTGCGTTGTATTTAGATATTAGGAAAGTTCTTGTAGAACTCCTCTCATTTTCACTTACATTATAGTTACCTGTAGCTTGTTTGATTCTCTGTTGTGGACCATAAATCTCTGCGGAGTTGAGACTCCTTATTTTACTCATCTTCACCTTCTGATCATAGTGCATGGACTTTATGGATGTCTAGCTTTTAGCTCTCGAACAAAACTGAGTCAGATGTTAGAGAATATTTTAAAAGAAATATTTTCTGCTAGAAAAATAGACAAATCATTTGGCTTGTTTTCTGCTAACATTGATGTCTGTGTAGTTAGGTTGGCTGCCCTTCAAAGAAATACTGTTTTTTTCCCCCATTCTCTTTCATATATTAAATGTATAAATTCCACATATACATTATTATAAAGTGTGCATGCATGTGCATATTCTCATGCTTATACACACACACACCAGGCAGAGGATGCTTCAGCTTCCTGTAGCCTTCTTAGAAATAATTTGACTTGGAAGGCAGTGGGAGTATTGTGTGGATTCATTGTTCACGTGAAGACTTATCTTCTTGTTTCCTGAACCAATTATTCTTTCTTAAAGGTCATACTGGCCCAACATTCCAAGTGTTAGGCTCCTCTTAGGCAGGGACTGAGTTCTTAGCCTTAGTCCTCTTCAAATACGTTGTCTATTTACAGGCAATGTGGTACAAAACCCTTGGATCATGATTTAATCGGTCATGTCCTTTGCTATCAGCCTTGACTCTGAATAATGAATTCTGCACTTAATATATGTGTAACATGGGACAGGTTAGTTCTTTAAGTACCACTTTCTCATCTATATATTGAGGACAACATATGCCTCATAAAATTGTTATGGAGAGAAATGACATGTTAGATGCCTGACGTGTAATAGGTACTTGGTTGGTAAATATTTCCTACCATCCTAGGATTATACAGCAGTGAGAGATTTCTTTTGCCACAGGATGAAGGGCTTAAGGAGGCCGGAGGCCCCTGGGAAAAAAGCATGTGAAAAATCAACTTACTTATTATTCTGATTACATGGAAAAAACATTGTCTCTTTCAAGGACAGCAGAAAGCTTCGTTGATTCCAAGTCTGAAACCTGTGTCGGCCTGTGCCCGTTGTATGGAAATTCAGTCTTAGGGGCTATGTAGAGGGTTTCCCTCCACGTCCTTAGCAGTCTGAACAGCAGTCTGGATGTGTTAGAGATTCAGAGAAGTGACGCATGCATGGGTGCCCATGATGAGTCAGGGTTAGGGTTAGGCAGAGCATAAAGTGGCATTCACCCAAACAACAAAAATATTAACTCAACTTTCTTTTCTTTTTGTCATCAGAAAGATACTTTGTGGAAGAAGGATGATGGATAGGAGCATAGTTCTGGGTATTTGAGATCAGCGTGTGAAAACAGGAAATACAGTGTTAATTGTGATGAGTGCATTCTGCATATTGGAAAGATTTAATTCTGTGAGGCTAACAATTCAAAAGAAAGCCTGATTCTTTAATAAGGCCTTACCTGTAGACATGTGATGTTAAATCTTGCTGACTTGGCTCCAGCCAAGCTCTTTGGAGTGGCCTGCAGCTTGCTGCCTCCAGCCACCACTTTTGAGGTGCCTGCCAGTCTGTACACTGGGCATCATGGAGTCCTCGGTGTGTTTGCATTTCCTGAATTGGGCTCCTAGCCCCAGCATTGCATTATCCTCATGCAAACCAGGTAATTTCATTTAAGTCCTCATTACATTAGTGATTGAGATGAGAAAGAAAGTGTATCTGAGAACAAAAATCATTATTTTTTTTTAGGCCTTGGATTGCTCATAATAGTAAAATAGAATCAAGTAATTATGTGCTTTTCCAAGTGCTTCGTCATGTGAGCTTTTGTATTGTGATAATAAAGCAAGTGCTAATGACTGTGTAAAATTCTTCCTATTTAACTTGTATGAGTAATTTTTTTTCCCTGTCATGTTTTCAGATCTAATTTAGTTCAGTAGCTACTTGCAGGTCCTTGAGCTTTCTTTCTTAAATTTGTTCAAATCATAGCCCCTAGTTGAAATTCAAGCCTGTTCAGTTCCAGATACTACGTTATAGCCATAGTGAAAGCTGGGGCACACAGTTAGTGCTCTTTGTTAAGGGAGTTGGCATTTGCAAATAATGTTAAAAGCTGAAAATGGAGTTTTAAGAAGTTTGGAAAAGTGCCGTCAGAGCTCAAGAGGAAGGAGAGGGGTATCTTTTAGGAGGAGAAATTTGTGTATCATGAAATAAGAGCTAGGAGGACCCACCAGCATCCTTTCAGCAGAGAGGCTCTAATACTGCTTTTTTTTTGCTGCCTATGTTTTCTTTAGGTCATGATTGCTGTGAGACAGTGAAGGTGCAGCTCTGTGCTTCCAAAGAGGGCCTTCCTGTGTTTGTGGTGGCTGAAGAAGACTTTCATTTCATCCAGGATGAAGCATATGATGCAGCTCAATTCCTAGCAACCAGTGCTGGAAATCAACAGGCTCTGAACTTTACCCGTTTTCTTGACCAGTCAGGACCCCCATCTGGGGATGTGAATTCCCTCGATAAGAAAGTGGTGCTGGCATTTAGGCACCTGAAGCTGCCTGCAGAGTGGAATGTGTTGGGGACAGATCAGAGTTTGCATGGTGAGAATTTATATGGTCTACAAACAAACTTTAAGTTTGTGATACTTTTTTTTTTTTTTTAAAATGGGGCTGCTCTTCTAGGTCATATTCAGGTCTTCCACAGAGGCTGAATAGATCTTATAGTTACTATAGGAAAGTGGCCTGAGTGACATCTCTTCTAGGTTCTTCAGTTGAGCTGATAAGCCTGTTGTTGCAGTGAAATGACCCATGGGACTACCCAAGGAGAGTGGCACATCACCTTCCTGTGGGTCTGGATTTAGGCTTGATCTCTCAAGTGTAGAAAGTGACATGTCCTTCAGGAGGAGAATAGTTACTTTTTGGTGTTTAATGATCAAAGACATCGTTTTCATTATTGTTTTCTGAAGTTCTCTAAAGATAGCCTGGAGGTGAAGGAGAGGAAAGATTGTGCAGTGAGTGGGGAGGAACATGAGAACAGCGTGCCCTATGAGAAACCACACACTTCTTTAACCAGGCTAGTGTCAATCTTACTGACTTTATCTGTTGGCCCTCCCTATAAGACTTCACTGAAGAAAGGACTCCACTTTTTTTTTTTTTTTTTTTTGGAGATGGAGTTTCACTCTTGTTGCCCAGGCTGTAGTACAATGGTATGATCTTGACTCACTGTAACTCTGCCTCCTGAATTCAAGCAGTTCTCCTGCCTCAGCCTCCCAAGTAGCTGGGATCACAAGTATGCGCCACCATGCTCAGCTATTTATTTTTTTCCAGTAGAGATGGGGTTTCACCATGTTAGTCAGGCTGGTCTCGAACTCCTGACCTCAGGTAATCCACCTGCCTTCGCCTCCCAAAGTGTTAGGATTACAGCTTTGAGTCACCGCACCCAGCCAGACTTCACTTTTTGAAAAACATTTACATAGTAAGTATATAAGTATGTCCTCTTACTCAAACAAGGGTTTTCCCACATAATTCTTGTAGCAAATGACATCTACTTGATGTCATAATTGTATAGATATTTTTTAATGAAACATAATGTGTACCCGGAGTTCAGTGAGTAACATCCAGTTTCCCTCCTGAGTTCAAGTCCAGTGGAACAATTTAGGAGTCCTGAAATAGAGATCAAAATGTTTACTTTATTCTGATTGGAAGCCTGATGTTACAGCTCCTGCCAGAAGGGTCTGCTTGTACTTTCTATGTCTTTAATGAAAAAGCTGATCATTGACACCACTGCTCTACAGAGTCCACCAGCCTTAAGTATTGAATTATGTTGGGTAAGCAGTTCCTGAGGAGCAATACCCAGAAGGGCCTGAGTCATGGCATACTTAGTTCCTACACTCAAAAGTTTTGTCTTCTTTCATGGAAGAATGGTAAAGAGGCCTTTGCCAGCTGTGATTCTCTTAAATCTAAATTTAACAGTTAAGCCTGCGATCAGCTATCAGAATGGTGTCCCATACTGTGAGGGGCATACTGTCAGTTACTACCTGGATAGTACTGCCCAGGTAAAAATCTGAAAGGAAGTATCAAATCAAGGAAGAAAGGCTTCATTCTTTCCTTCCTGTTTTTTAAACTATAGTATCCAAGAAATTTCCGTCTTGCTAATATTTAGAGATCAGAATATTTGACATTATATAGCGCTTGCGTGCCTTTTCAGAAGCCCAGTGGGGCTTGAATACCTCTAGCTTCTGCCGTTTCTTTTTTAAAAGGTGGAGTCTAACTCAGTTGTTTGGGCTGGAGTGCAGTGGTGCAATCTGAGCTCACTGCAACCTCTGCCTCCTGGGTTCAAGCAATTCTTCTGCCTCAGCTTCCTGAGTAGCTGGGATTACAGGCATGCACCACCACGCCCAGCTAATTTTTTGTATTTTTAGTAGAGATGGACTTTCGCCCTGTTAGCCAAGATGTTCCCGATCACCTGACTTCATGATCTGCCCGCCTCAGCCTCCCAAAGTGCTGGGATTACAGACATGAGCCACCACACCTGGCCACTCCTGCCATTACTATATTGATAGGAGAATGTTTATTCTGGCTGCCTTTCACAAATCAGTGTCAAGATAGTACTGCATTATTTGTGGGGCCTATGGTGTTTCATGGTTTTGTTTTGTCTTGTTTGAAGAGGGCCTAGGAGTTGGATAGTTTTATGTTACCATGATTAAAAAGAACGATTAGAAAAAAGAAACATCTGAAACTTTGAACATATCTCTTCCTATATATATATTTTTTTAATTTTTTATTGGATTTTAGATTTTGGGGTACATGAGCAGAGCATGCAAGACAGTTGCGTAGGTACACACATGGCAGTGTGCTTTGCTTTCCTTTTCCCTTCACCCACATTTGGCATTTCTCCCCAGGCTATCCCTCCCCTCCTCCCCCTCCCACTGGCCCTCCCCTTTCCCCCCGTATAGACCCCAGTGTTTACTACTCCCCTTTCTGTGTCCATGTGTTCTCATTTTTCATCACCCGCCTATGAGTGAGAATATGCGGTGTTTCAATTTCTGTTCTTGTGTCAGTTTGCTGAGGATGATGCTCTCCAGATTCATCCATGTCCCTACAAACGACACAAACTCATCATTTCTGATTGCTGCATAATATTCCATGGTGTATATGTGCCACATTTTTCCAATCCAGTCTATTATCAGTGGGCATTTGGGTTGATTCCAGGTCTTTGCTATTGTAAACAGTGCTGCAATGAACATTCGTGTACATGTGTCCTTATAGTAGAACGATTTATAGTCTTTTGGATATATACCCAGTAATGGGATTGCTGGGTCAAATGGAATTTCTATTTCTAAGGCCTTGAGGAATCGCCACACTGTCTTCCACAATGGTTGAACTAATTTACACTCCCACCAACAGTGTAAAAGTGTTCCATTTTCTCCACATCCTCTCCAGCATCTGTTGTCTCCAGATTTTTTAATGATCGCCATTCTAACTGGCGTGAGATGGTATCTCAATGTGGTTTTGATTTGCATCTCTCTGATGACCAGTGACGATGAGCATTTTTCCATATGATCGTTGGCCTCATATATGTCTTCTTTCGTAAAGTGTCTGTTCATATCCTTTGCCCACTTTTGAATGGGCTTGTTTGTTTTTTTCCTGTGAATCTGTTTGAGTTCTTTGTAAATTCTGGATATCAGCCCTTTGTCAGATGGGTAGACTGCAAAAATTTTTTCCCATTCTGTTGGTTGCCGATCCACTCTAGTGACTGTTTCTTTTGCCGTGCAGAAGCTGTGGAGTTTCATTAGGTCCCATTTGTCTATTTTGGCTTTTGTTGCCAATGCTTTTGGTGTTTTGTTCATGAAGTCGTTGCCTACTCCTATGTCCTGGATAGTTTTGCCTAGATTTCCTTCTAGGGTTTTTATGGTGCCAGGTCTTATGTTTAAGTCTTTAATCCATCTGGAGTTAATTAACTTCAGGCCAATATCCATGATGAACATAGATGCAAAAATCTTCCTATATTTTTTGTTTGCTTTTTTTTTTGTTTTGAGATGGACTCTAATTCTGTCACCCAGGCTGGAGTACCATGGCACGATCTTGGCTCACTGCAACCTCTGCCTCCTGGGTTCAAGCAATTCTCCTGCCTCAGCCTCCTAAGTAGCTGAGATTATAGGTGCAAACTGCCATTCCTGGCTACTTTTTTTTTTGTGTGTGTGTGTCTTAGTAGAGATTGGATTTCACCATGTTGCCGAGGCTGGTCTTGAACTCCCAAGCTCAGGCATTCCACCCGCCACAGCCTCCCAAAGTGCTAGGATTATAGGCATGAGCCACCGTGTCCTGCCACCTCCTCTATTTGGACATTTAACTTTCTTGTTTTTAATAGGAGGGAATTGGCCAGCTTTAATATTTTTTTTTGTACTGTTAGTGTACTGGTAAATTTTCTGTTGTACAAAATTCCTCGAGGAGTGTTAACAGAAGCCAAACCAAATGTGAATACTTAAGGAAATACATATTAAAACCATAATGAAATACCATTGCACATTTATCATAATGGCTACGATGAAGAATACCAAGTGCTGGCAAAGATGAAGAACATCTCATTTTGCTTGTAGGAATGCAAAATGTATAACCACTCTAGAAAAATTTGGCAGTTTCTTGTCAAGTTAAACATACACTTAGCATATGACCCTGTAATCCCACTTTTGTGTATTTATCCTAGAGAAATGAAAACTTACAGTCACCAAAAAATCTGTGCGCAGATGTGCTCATAGTAGCATTATTCATAATCACCGAAAACTGGAAATAACCCAGATCTCTCTCACTGAGTGAATACAGAAGCAAACTGTAAGACATCCATATAATGTGGTACTCCTCAGCAAAAGAAGCAAACTATTGACATGTGCAGCAACTCGGATGCGTTTTAAATGCATTATGCTAGGAAAACGAAGTCGGTTTTCAAAGGTTACTTGCTACATGATTCTATTTATATGATATTCTGAAAAATGCAAAATTATGGAAAAAGAATAGATGAGTAGCTGCCAGGGGCTGGGAGTGGGGGAAATGTCTGACTGCAAAGGACTATCGTGAGGGAATTCTTTGGGTTGTTGGAGTTGTTTTGTATCTTGTTTGTGGTGTTGGCTATAAGAATCTATGCCTTTGTTAGAATTCATAGGAATGTACACCCTGTAAAGGTGAATTTTATTGTACATATACTTAATAATTACAAAAGAAATTGTGTAAGTTAGATGTATACTTTGCATGGTGAAATGCATGGAAGTGACTTGATGGAACTGCCTTCAAGTCAACAACTGGGATCAGGAATCTGGCTTTGAGTGCTCAGTTCACACTCTGCAGTTTACGTTGTTCTATCCATTGTTGATTAGAATGTAGGAACACTGGGTACAGTAAGGGCAGAGTAGCATCAGTTAAGAGTCCATCATGCCTGCTGTTGAGGGACGAATGTAATGGAATAGTCTGTTCAAATCAATGAGTTGCACATCAGATACTTTTAAACAGATGCTTAAAGGAGAAAAGGACAGAGTAAGTGTGATGCTTGAGGTAATACAGGTAAATAGGACACCTTGTTATATAACAGGATTTCTTGCTGTTGAAAG